CTCAGAGCCTGCAGTCTGGACTCCTCCTGGTCTCTCAGAGCCTGCAGTCTGGACTCCTCCTGGTCTCTCAGAGCCTGCAGTCTGGACTCCTCAGAGCCTGCAGTCTGGACTCCTCCTGGTCTCTCTGAGCCTGCAGTCTGGACTCCTCCTGGTCTCTCAGAGCCTGCAGTCTGAACTCCTCAGAGCCTGCAGTCTGGACTCCTCCTGGTCTCTCAGAGCCTGCAGTCTGGACTCCTGGTCTCTCAGGAACTGGTGCAGTTTTTTGAACTGGTCCCTGGTCTGTCTCTTGGTGGACAGCAGCAGTTTCTTGGAGTGTTGGATCACTTCAGTGAAGGTTCTCTCCACATGTTGGAGTGTCTTCTTCTCTAAAGTTTACTTTCTGACTTACTTTTCTAAAATCCCAGCCCCAGTAATTCATTTTTTATTCGTCCCAGACATAAAAATATTCATCATCAGGGTATCAGCTCATAATTCTCTCTTCCCACCCTTGAAACTGCTTTTCTGTCCCATTTCCTCACACCGTGCTGATTAATGCTGTAACTTTGTGTGWAACTCAAACCATGCTCTGCTTGTTCCACAGAGTCCTCAGTGTCGTATCATACCTGAGGTGTAGTGTGGACCTTCTCCTTCTCAGTTGATGGTTTGGGTTTCTCTGTTTGCAGTGTTGATGAATCCAGATGTTGACATGTCCTTCACACACGCAGGAAGTAATTAACATGTTCAACATCTGTAAATGAAGGCGTGTCAGGGGAGGAGTCTCACCTGCGCTCAGGTCCACGTTAATTGTGATGTACAACAGAAATGTGTGTGGATTCAGGCGTACGCACACTTTGATACATCTGGATTATTTTGTGCGTACGTTGTTTTCTGGATTTGACCGTACGTCAGGTTTCAGTAAGAAATCCCCACAGGTYTTTGTTCATGAGGTCCCTGGACTTTAAGCTCCATCACAAGTGGTTCAGAGATTTCACTTGTTTTGTCTTGTTAATATTTGGTCTGAATCCTATTTTAAGGTTATTCTAATGAGGAAGTGGTGATGTCATTTTAAAGAGGAAACCTCAAATAGTATTTKGATCAGGAAATTTCCCAGTTGAAAAAAAATAATATAAACTTTKYC